TTTTTTTTTTTTTTTTCTTCCCCTGCTTTTATTTACGACAAATTATTTTTTTGCTGCTGCTTTTGCTTTCTCCTTTGCGACTAAATTTCTTCTCTCCTGGATCCATACAGACCATTGTTTCTTGTTTAACCATTTGTTAATAAAGGATTGTGTCCATTGGTCATACATAATATTTTTTTCAAATTCCCATTTTTTCCACTGGTCTAGTATACTATTAATAAATATGTCATCTTTTTCTTTAACCCATTCAAACCATTCATCCCACTCTTCACTAGACCTTTCTAAGAAGATTTCATGTTTTTTTTTTTCTCCAAATTGAAATAATTTGGTAGCCCATTTTTTATTTTCAAATTCTTCCCAATGTTTTTGTTCAGCAACTTTCCACTCACTTGTTAACCAACTTACAATTTTATCTTTTTTCCATTTAATCCATTGTTTTACAATTAATTCATCTATATTTGATTGATTTTCATAAAACCACTTTTTCCATTCTATATCCAAATATAATCTTCCTTCATTTTTCATCCATCCTCTCCATTGTGGTTCAGTCCAATTTATAGATCTCCTTAAAACATTCGAATTAAATTCTTTATCTATATTTGGATTAAAATGTGTCCATTTATTTTCTATAGATCTTATCCATGTAGTAAATTCTTCATCTTTTGTTTTTATATATTCGCTCATTTTTTCTTCCATTGCTTGATTAAAAATATTCCAATCATTTTCTAATTTGTTTTTCCACTGGACCCATTGATTTTTCTTCCATTCTTCTGTTTGTTCTGAATCTGTTTCAGAATCTGTTTCATTCTCTATTTTTTCTTCAGAGTCGTCATTATCTAGTAACACTTTGTAATCTCTCTGCTAATATAAGCAAGTAAAAGAAGAAAAAAAAAAAATTATATTACCATGCATGAATGTGTTTTTTTATTAGTTTTATCGTTTAGAAAGAAAAAAAAAAAAAAAACATGCAACAGGTATGAGATATATTATATATAATATCTTGGTTTACACAAGAAGTTGCATATACTTTTCAAGCATAATTTTGACATGTTTGTAAAATTTTCAAGGTGGAAAAAGTATGCATCAAATATTGCATAAAAGTATATGCACACAACGTATGTAACATATTAACTATGTGTTTCTATTTTCACATTTTTTTTTTTTTATTTTTTTCCCCTTACCGTAGCTATAACACCTAAAGCAATGGCAGATGTTATGGCAGTCATGGTTATGGCTGCTGTTAAGGCAATTTGTTCTTTATTCATATTTGACAATTTGTCTTTGTATCTTAAGGACATTTCCCGAAGTGAGTTTCCATCTGGAATGAGGTTGTTAATATTTTCTTTTAATGAATCCATTATTTCCTACTTTTGAAAACTTTTATTGGGTTTGCTATAAACAATTTTTATGAAGTAATCGAAATGATGAAAAAGTTTCTTTCAGGTATAATGAAATATGGCCTTCTGCATGCAAAAGAATTATTCACATATATATATAT